CGTCTTAATGTTTTTTTCTCCCATGTCCCCTGCGGGGCTCCGTACTATTGCAATAATCTGATCTGTATATCTCACTCAGTAAGCGGTTTGATGCTGCCTCAGTTGTGTGTGGAAATAATGTTGTTATCCATCTGCCCAAGGTTCAGTTTTGTCTGTTGTAAGATGAGCAGTTTTGACTGGGGAGAAGACGTCCAGGTTCCAACTACATTTGCTGGAGTTATTGCAAGGTGCTACCGCCAGCAGTTACCGTCAGTACGAAAAAGTTATTTCAGGCTATTGTAATTTATGAACAAATTATTCGTCTTGTGCATTTGTTAACGTGGCAATATTTGCCACAGCAGCTTTATGCCTGTCTATCATAAAAATATAACAATCCCTAAACCCTGCGTAGTGATTAAAGTCCCTCATAAACTCAAACTTTCATTGGTCTCCTCTGCCACTCCTGGATTCATGTGCAGGTGTTTCATTTCCAGTTATCCCAGCAACTGCAGCACAATCTGGCAGCTACGGTTAAGATTCTCTTGGTGGCAGTGACATTCTCCAAAATGGAAACCGTTTTTCCACATTAACCCAAGATGAGTTTTTGAGGGTGGAGGAAGTTGTCAGTGTCTTCCTACAATACCACAAAGCTGTATTTAATTTTATTGAAGCCTAAATCAAAACTTTACCACAGAATTTTATAACATGGGCACTTGAAAGTGGCTTCCTGGAGGTTCAAGTATAAGCCTGTTATAGCCAAAGCAGAGAGCATTTAAAGGACACTTTAATATCATCTATACTGGGGGAGCTGCATCCTGTAAGTCTTCTTTCTCAGACTTTATCGTTTCATTCTTTTGCAACTATTTCTGAAAAAAAAAATATGAAAGAAAAAATTGTCCACAAAGTTTGTAAAATTACCCCCCGTTGGAACTATTTTTATATGTTGTTTACAAGAAACCACGGCTGTGTCCAATGGTAAAATTCAATTTTGTTCTTCACAGAAGAAAATTCACATAACAACACAGGGAGTCTTTCCTTAGATCAGCCTGAAGGTAGTTTATTTCAAGCATTTGGGGGAAAAACACGGCTAATGTTGCTTCTTTTCTGGTGAGGCTCTCAAAAGTTTCAAATCAATTTAGCGCTGTAACTGGAGTCGAGAGAAACCCAAACAGACGTACATCTCATTAGTGTGCCAGTCAAGTTTATTGTGATGCTTCTCACGCTCAGATCATTACTGCCGTGATTTGATTTCCCCCTCCTTTTTTTTTTTTTTTAACTTAATCTGCCGGTGTTACAAAAGCCCCTGCATAATTAAAAAAGAAATAACACGCAATAGTTGATATCTATTTATGATTACGTCACCTGAAGCCACTTTATGTTTCAAATAATTTGACATTAACTAAGACTTTCCATGAGATAGCCGTGCAGTAAAGGATGTCATTTGCTGTGGGACCTGATCGATCTTATCTCTGTGTGTCAGGGATAATTATGAATTCCAAATAATTAATGTAGTAATTGACATTTTTTTACCAACTCTCTGACAGTGGAGACACTTACATCAATCCTCCTGCAGTGTGATGGCTAAACAATTTACTAAACTCTGTTATGATGTACAAAAACCCCAAACATTCATTGGCACAAATTATGAATCACTTTCTCTGGCAAGTAAGTATTGCATTACATTTGAGAAAAGTAACGAGTAATGTGTAATAATTACAAAGAAGAAGAAGAAGAAGATGAAGACACAGACTGCACTGAGACAGAGAAAGGGTTTCCTGCAGAACCCACTGCAAAAGCAAACATGTCCCTACTCTATTTTAATTAGTTTGCCTTAATTAATCATGTACAGTACTTTATAGAAGGACTTTTGCTTACATTGAGTTATCTGTTTTATCTGCCTTTGTGTTGATGTGTGCATATTTATTATTGCTATTATGTGCTTAATTTTTCTGAGGGCAGAGTAAGTGTGCAATGCAAGTATCTAATGGGACCTTTAATGTTTAACCTCAGTTCCTTAAATTAGCAGTGCTGTGATCAATGACTCCTGGTCAATGTTTGTGTTCAGGGATATTAAAATGTTAATTAAATCTGTGTTCCTGTAGGTGTGTGGTGTTTGGGGCACAAAAATGTGACAAAAATGTATCTGAGTCGCACAAAATCTCAATATTACGGAGCCCCGCAGAGGACATGGGAGAAAAAAAAATTAAGACGGACTTTTGATCTCGCAAAAACTTTTGCGAGATCTCGCAAAACAAACTCGGGATCTCGCAAAAGTTTTAGCTGCATTCTTCGGAGGCCGCCAGCTCGAAGCCGACCGGGAGGTCGAGGCACGATGTGCCGGGAAAGCGGTGTTCCTCCCGGCTGTAGTAGGTCTCGACCTCCCGTTAGCTTCAAGCTAGTGGGTGTCAGATCTCCGAAAACGTCGGAGCACTTTTGCAAATATGTGATGTCTTATAAACCGAGCCAACACGTTCTCACTCCCAAAGCGTAACATTCTACGCTAGGTGACAAATCATCAACATATTACGTTTTCGGCTACCCACCACGTTCCTAAATGACGACCTCGGAAAAATGAGGAAATATGAGAACCGTCTGGACTCAATCTACACATGTGCGCTCTTTTTCTTCAAATCGCTTAGAAACACGCTATTTAACATAATTAAAGTCCTGGTTAAGGTCACGAATAAGGTCATGGTTAGGGCTAGGGATAAGGTTAGGTTTAGGGCTGGAATACAGGGCTGGAACGTACCGCGGGAGCGTCATTGCACTTGATTTCAGCCATAACCTGCCGCGTACCATAAGAACGCCAAAGGTCTCCTTTTGCGTTCCTCAGGAAAAACCCCTGAAAATATCTTAAAAGTGTATTTTGTGACCCAGAAAGAGTAATATTACAACTAAGTAGCTGCCGCCATTGTTGGAATTCAACTTTTGCAAAACTTTTGCAAAACTAACTCGGGATCTTGCAAAAGTTTTGCGAGATCCCGAGTTAGTTTTGCGAGATCTCGCCAAAGTCCGTCTTAATTTTTTTTTCTTCCATGCCCCCTGCGGGGCTCTGTACAATATTGTGTACGAATGTCTATTAATTTAGACCACTCACATTTTCTTAGCATATTTATCATAAAATGCGCTAAAATAAGAATGCAAGTGTGTAACTTGCGTGTATACGATGACATTTCCATGTGATTTTTCACATGTAATAACAAGTACAAGTACTATGCACTTCTTAAGTTGTCATTCATTATTGTGATTGAATGAGATTGCATAATTTTAAATACCTGTAGTTAAGCGTACAGATTTTTAACTGTTTTTTGTTGGCGATTTCTTTTATAGTCTAAAACTGTGTGTTACGTATGTTTACGTTCAAAAACATTAAGGTTATTTTTTCACTGTTGTAAAAGATGTGGTGAAGAGACACTCTTTGCCAAGTTGCTGAAGCAAAATGAGAAGAAAATGTTTCAACAAAATGAGTTATTAAGCCAATCAACCAGATTTCCCTGGTTGTCTTGCTGCTGAGAGTTTGACAATGAAGACCAAACAGAAACACAACAGAAAGACAAGAGATGGC